CTGTGACCTCAAAATTCAACTTTAAAGTACTCATCTGAAGCGTCTCGTCGCGTTCTTTCGTTTGCCGCCTCGTGCGTTTCGCTGCGCCTATTGGTTCTCGAGTTATCGGCTGGGGGCGTTTAACGCCCCCCCCCCCCCAGCAAACGGTGGGTGGCGAAATACCCCAGCAACTGCCGGGTTAAGATGTGGCGCGACCATGAGCTTCACAAGCCCCGACAAAGGGTCTTGGTCGCGGCATTGTGCGTTCACCTGGATGATAATCATGACAACGCTATCGGCCATTTTTATCAATGCTTTTGGTGCTGTTGTTGTGGTGTTGTTGTTGCTGTTCCGTACACGTGCCTATACCGTAACACGTGGAGCATTTTCGTGTCGTTCTGGTCTGCACGAGATCTCGCTTCCGTGCGGGGCGGTTATTTTCTTCTCGTCAGTGTTTATCTCGCGTGACGAGCTCGACCAGCTGGCTGCACGGGAGCGTCTATCGCCCTGGATGCTGGCGAGGTCACCAACGATCCCAGATCGTTCGTAGCTGAACGGGGAGCAGGGGTTCCTGCAGGTCACCCAGGGCTCGTTTCTGTCCAGAATGGAACCCACAGGAGACCGAAGTGGCACGAATGGCACACGCGCGCCACTTATTGCGACACATATTTTTAGAAACTTTCGTGATAACTAACGATGATAGCCACCTTGTTCGTGCAGCCTGCGTGATTGAGGCTAAGATACGAGTATATGTAAATCGGCCACTCCTATGGCTACTTTTACTGTTTTTGTGAATGTTTGGAGCTCCGTTTGCCTTCAGTCATAGCTTCAGTGCAATCCGACACGATTCGACTCGTCTGAACTCATGAATGATTGACATCTAGAGCAACCTTAGAAACCGCACGTGAAAAAAACTTCACCAAAGAATGAACATGGAACAGGTCTACGCTACATTTGTAATCAGATCACCAGGTATTTACACTACTTCTATATCTGTCTTATTCCGCTTTAAATGAGATTAAATGGGGTTTCATGCTGATCTGACGTCATTTCAATGATAATGGCTCAAGCAGCTTTTGAATATTGGCTAACCGGGTCGCTTACACTAACCAAACTACCACCCTTCATGAAAGGCACGGATTAACACCAACGACACGATTAAACACAATATTTCAGCTTAAGCATGAGCACAAATCTGAAGGATGGTCCATTTACAAACCTACTACTGACGTCATAAAGCCATTTTATGTGCTCTTTGGACACGCCCAATCTCACCAAGTGCGGTAAACTCAATTTGGGGTAAAATACCAAACTACCCTACTCCGTAACTACAAAAATACTACCCCGAAATTAGTTAAACTAGCTTGGTGAGGTTGGGCCCAGGGCCCAATCTCACCAAGTGCTGGAGCTCAGGCTCCACAAAACAGCTTTTGACGCTGAGCTGAGAAGATGGTAATTAGCTTTGCTTTGGGGGAAGCTGAGTGACGAATAGACTGAAATCTGTTCTGAAAGGTCTGACTGAAAGGTGTCCGACTGAAAGGTCAGTCAACAGCAGACATGTGCAATGTGCATGTGTCCGAGTGATGAATGATCTCTGTGGACCTCGAAGCAAACTTCAGTTATAAAAGCAATTTTTATAACTGAAATTTAAATTTTCATTTTCAAATTTAAATTTTTAGCAAGATCTTATGATCCAACCGGACCCCACGTGAAAAATATATCCCCGATCTATGATCTTATATATCTGACGATAACCAAGCCCATGGATCTATGATCCGAGTGGATACCACGATGCAAAACATTTGAAGCTGTGCATGTTTCCAAGGGTTTCTATGTCAATATGTGCTAAAAAAACTATTAACTATGACGTGCGATCACATACAACTTCGCAAGCAGAACTTCTGTGAGTTGCAGCTAGTAAATCTTTAGGATTTCTGTGTTGAAAAAAGTAAGTGGGGATTCATTATGATTTCTCTGGATCTCAAATAAAAAAAAATGAGACTCGGATCTATTATCACAATATATCCATCGATAAATCTTAGAGCTTGATCTATGATCCCTTCAGATACTAGATCCAGGATCCGTGAGATCAGTGCCCAGATCAATTTTCTCGGGTCCATGCACGAGTCTGGTCACAAGGCAAAGTTATGTGAGCTAAGCCTTGCTCTTACAGGGGGCCGGAATTTGAATGGCCCCAGTCGAACAATTCGCTTAAAAAGATGCAGATCTCAACTATTGCTTCGGTACTCTTGATTTAACCCTCGCACGACCAGGCCATTTCTCATAACACGAACGACCAGGGGGGGGGTTGTTACGACCCCCCCCCTGGCGTTTCGAAACGGAAGGTCGTAGAGCTTAGCGGAAAAAACCAACGGATTGCTCTCAACGAGATCTCGCGATTGGTGGTATATTTTTTGGTCCTAGGTCAACATTTGACCTACTTTTGACCGGTCAAAGGTCAAATTTTCGGAAAAATAGACTTTTTTCAACTTTCGGCGGCGATTGCGGCAAAACGGTGGGAGATATCGACTTGAACCCTTCACTATCGTGTTCCTTGATCAATTCTCTATCGTTTGGTATGTATTTCGTTTCCCTATCTCTAAAAATGGCGCGTTGGGAGCGCCGGAAGTCGGCAAGGTTACAGTCGGCGGAAGAAATTCGAAAAATCAAAATTTAAATTTTTGAAATCTGATTGTATTTTTGGATTTGGGAGGTCCATTTGCTCCCTATAGAAGCTAATATTGCTGCATATTCCCATTGAGGTGACAAGAATTAGCAAAATAGTGGTTCGGGCGCTTTTCAAAAATAGTACCGGACGCTGTTCCTCTTGTGACGTCATAGCTCCGTGACCTGACCTGACCCGGTCAAATTTCTTATAGCATATGATAGCCAATACTTGCCCCAACATGCATGGGAAGTTTCATCACGATCCATCAACCGATGTCCGTACCACCGGCAGGAAACCTCGGGCGTTGGCACTCAGTTTGTGAAAATCCGGCCGGAGGCTGTACCTCTTATGACGTCATAACTCCGTGACCTGACATGACCCGATCAATTTTTTTTCGGCAAAAGATGCGCAAAGGTTGCCCCATAGCGTATTGAAAATTTCAGCCCGCTACGACAAGCCGTTTAGCGTGCACTTCTAAAAAACCTCAGGGGGGGGGTTGATACAACCCCCCCCCTAGGCGTTCTAGGGTTAATGAATTTTACACCAGCCCTAAACATTTCATGACCCTGACTATCTAATAAAGTTATTAATTGATTCATGTTTCACCGATTAGCTATTCGTGTTCCTACACTTATCCTAAAGTAACTTCAAATGTACCCGTCATGTTTCAGTGATAACAATATCCAGTCTCAGTCGTCTCGTTTTTTTTTTTGTCTCGTTTGACGTTTCAGAACCCGGGCTGTAGCCGGCCTCATCATTCGACAGTCCCCGATATCAAGTCTACCCGATCGTATCTCACAATCGTCCGTCTCACATCGAACACCGACCTCCAGCCGTTGAGCAAAACAGCTCAGATGACAATGGAATATATTCTCTTCTTTACACATGCACACAGTTTACAGCAATGCTAGGGTTCCATCAAGAGGAGCTGGGAAGAGTCCCGACTACCTTGAGATATTCTCCGTTCGTCACTAGCCAGCCTCTGACCGCAACACAATGCACACATCTCTCTCTCTCTCTCTCTCTCTCTCTCTCTCTCTCTCTCTCTCTCTCTCTCTCTCTCTCTCTCTCTCTCTCTCTCTCCCTCTCCCTCTCTCTCTCTCTCTCTCTCTCTCTCTCTCTCTCTCTCTCTCTCTCTCTCTCTCTCTCTCTCTCTTTCTCTCTCTCGCCCATAATCGACGGACCCAAACATCGATGGACAGCCCACTAACTTCCACTACACACCGTTGACTTGAGGTCCGGAGCTCGTGTCGACGGGGAAACAGAGCGATAACGTCAGATTCGGTGTTAAAGTGGTTGTGGCCTCCTCCCAGGCTCCACTGTGCAAGGTTCATGTGTTGCACTGTGGCGTCTTCGTCAGACCACGTCAGTTCATGACATATGATAGGTATGTCATGCTACGTATGGAATGTAATATGGTAAGACATCAGCCATGACATGTAACGTCTGCCACGACATGGTGTTTTGGGATATTTTATATCTCCTCTAAGAATCTGCAGTCTGCACTCAATCGCGACGATGGCACCGAGAATCAGCCTCTATCGGTGTCAGTCATTTCTGCCTGTGTCAGTGTCAGACGTGTCAATACAAATGACCAGTGAGCCGTCGGCTAGCATGGAGCCCACCAGCCTCTGTTGGGGTCAACTGTCCCCGTTGGGCTACGCTGTGGTGCCAGCCTCTGAATCTTGGTAAACTGTAGGAGTTTCGCATATACTCGTATGCATGATTTCATCGTGAAAAAAGACTGCATAGGGTCTCCTGATGATTTTTTCTTGTCAACTTGTTTGAGTCGGAGCGGAACAGAATCTCTGAAAATGTTTTTGCATGCCGCCTGTATGAATCCATCTTTTTTGGTGGGTGGAAGTTGTAGTAAGAAGTTGCTGTGTACACTTCTCATCCTACATAAAACTGTCTGAGATGCATATACCTACATCCCGGATGCGTCATTTTGCCTGACGCCCTGTATAGGCAGATGCTCCGAAGTTCGTTTCCGGCATATGTTTGTGTTTCAAGCATCAGAGTTAGCATGCTAACGTTACACGACATTCCATGGGAAATTGTTCCAAGCTAATTCAACTTAGACGCGATTAACTATCCCAGTGCCTGCGTGCTGGACTGGAGCTCCGCAACAACTGTTTATCAAATGAAAATCAACGTATATTTTACAGTCAACACCTATCAAAGCGTAAAGCTGAACGGTTGAGTGGGGCGAGAAATACTTTCTAAAGAAGCTCCAGCCTCGAGCGATCAAACCTCGCCGCAACTTGGTGCCGAAGTTGGCACGTCTTTCGAGCGAAGACGGACATCCTGGTCGACATAGGGCTCCCGAACAGAGCCGGTTAAACTCTTAATGTTTCATGCCAGCCTCAGATGTTTCATGTGTCACGGTGAAACATTTGCATTATTTGTATTTGGTACGAAGCTGATCTTCAATCGTCAGAAAAGTTGTTTGGATGGTGGGAACCTGATGCATTGCTGACCCCAATAACCGTACACCTTTTGGCCATGACGTGTGGCTCATAAAATGGCAAAATGCATTATAACGTGTGCTATTTAAACACAGATAAGCAATCAATCATTACTAGGTACATAACGTGCTATACATGCTAAACTTCGAAAAAATTAACAACAAATAAATGTCTACAGCATTGTTCTCCTATGACTATGGTAACTTTGGGCGCCCTAATTGCGATCATGTCTTAAACTGGACTATATCACATCGAGCAAACGAAGCACCTCATATGACCATGGTAAACATATTTTCCTTTCAATATCAAATAATACAAAGCAGGATAGCATAAATATAACGACTTATATCACACAGGCAAATACAACATATAGAAACAATATGTCATTAAGTAATATCCAGCAGCATATGTGATAAGTTCGCTTAACGACCAGCCAGGTGAACCATAACCATTTCTAAATACCACTAATGCTTCCTCCAGCCTCTGGATTCAGAACAGTGCGTTTCTGGTAACTATTAGGAGTCATTCAAAGTAAGTAATGCGGTCTGAATGAGGCCATTCAATCTCATATTCATATGCAAATAAGAGAACAATGCCATTGGAATACTCTCATCAGCTCATATGTGCAGATATTAAGCCTCGCCACTATATCAGTCCGACACTGAATGGTCGACCTTTCGGCGGCCGACAGCTCAGAGAGAACGAGGATTCGCACAGCGCCGCCGACCAAATCGAGAACATTTCAGCAGTCGGCCCGACCGAGACGTCACCGGTGTCGACATCCAAAGATGACAAAATCGACGATGAAGCGTCTCTCTCTCTCTCTCTCTCTCTCTCTCTCTCTCTCTCTCTCTCTCTCTCTCTCTCTCTCTCTCTCTCTCTCTCTCTCTCTCTCTCTCTCTCTCTCTCTCTCTCTCCCTCTCTCACGCGGCAGACAATACAGTATCCGATCATGACCGTTGTAGCTGAAACCGCGGTTCGGTGGCGATTTTCACGGGTAGCTGGGTTTTGGCGGCCAATCTCCCAACCATTTCCGACTTGCGCTTCAGTCGTCCTCCTTTTTATCTTCTCTCCTTAGCCCTCTCAGCGGCTGTCCGTCGTTAAAGTCGCGGCGACTCGATGGGATTCGAACCGGCGTCGTCCTCAGCTCACAGCTGTTCGCGCGGCCGAGGAGCGGTCGCCCGCAATGCCGGCACGCGTTCAGAAGCGCAGCTCGTGTATGACGTCACCGAGTGACGCCACCGTGCGCCACCGCCGGACGCGGGTGCTGCGTTTGCCGAACCTGGAACAGAGGGGGCGATGTTCATTAGCCGTCCGACACGGAGCAAGGAGAAGCGCTCCGGCGGAGCCGAGGTGAGCGTGTTAGCGTTAGTCGAAATACCCGGCGCTAATTGTGAAGGACAGGCAGGAGAGCACGAGCAGGCCTCTTGGCGGGGGCGGATGGAGGAGGAGGGTCAGGGGTGATGGCAGTGGGCGGCAGTGGGCGGCGACGAGTCCGATCGCTACTGATCGCCGATTCTAACCACGACATCCAACAGACACCGTGGAGCACGAAACCATGCTCACGGCGCGGAGTCCGGCGAATTGCCTCCCCAAATCGGCGATTCGCCGGACCTGTAGTGTGGCTGCCGGGCTGGGGACTATACACTACGGGCACGGCTAGTGTCGGTGCCCGCAGGCGGTGGGCTAATCAGACACCTATCGGGTCAGTCCACGGGGACGGCCGCCGATTCTGAGCGTCATCCCCAGGTAATTATCAACATCAGGCGAACCGGAACTATATCTGGATGACCCACTCAGGGTAACGCTGTCACCGCCCACTGCCCGGAGATGAGGTATCCGGAGGTCAAATCCGGAGGGAAAGAGGGAGGAAAGGTGAGCGGCAGAGCAAAAGGGCGACATTTCGCCCGGAAATATTTTCTGATGATATAGACTAAGACTTTTCATCAAAACTGTTCATTTCATCTGCCCAGGGCCTATAGCATGTGACGCTGGTTAATTTCATTGTGAAAATATGTGGCACAATGATGGCTGATGGTGCACAGCCCACGCAGTGGCTTGCAGTTCATGATATGCCGAGAGGAGCCCACCAGTACAGCTAGATTTACCAGTAAGCGTACAAATGTCGACTAAGTTATTGGATGGAATCCCTGGCTTTCCATCAGGGCGCTGTCATCATACTTCCACCGCGCGGCGCTGAATTCTGCGGCATTTCAATTACAATGACGTACTGGATGGCTGCCTGGAAGGATAAGGACAAGGGATGCCCTGCACGCGTGGACAGTTATAAACAGAACATGTGGCACGAGATGAGGAATTCTGGACCACGCATTTTGTGCTTTATAGTCCATGAGGTATACTGAAAGATCAATAAAGGGTTGATGTTGATGCATATTAGTTCAGGCAGAGCAGTCCCTTGTTGTCATTGACACCGAGAGTGACTGGACATTTTTTTTTTTTATAAATCTCGAATCTTATGCATCTTTTCGTGTTTCTCCCTCTTCCACTCATTTTAAATGGATTATTTAGTTGTTGAAGACACCGAGTGTTGAATCAGTGTCACGAGCTTGTTTAGCATAGCACACGTAAGAACAGACTACAAAAAGAAATAATGAATATGCTCTGAAAAATGGAAGGCATTTAAGGCTGTTTAACACAGACGCAGATCTATTTTCCGCACGACTTCCTTTGTGACAGGCCTGGCTGTCGTGTCTGGACCACGGTAATGTGCGCATTATGACATTGCCAGGGTAATTTCACCCCTGCCAAGCCCCTGACTCATAAAAATTATAGCAGCTTGAGAGTCGAGGAAACGGACAGCTCCGTCATAGGGCAAAGGGCAACAGCTATAGGGACTTCTATCTATAAAAGAAAATCAAGAAGGACTAAGCTATGCTTATCAAACCATTATGTTTTCACCATTTTGAAAAAAGAGGTATCGTTCAGCAGTGGAAGCTTTAAAAAAATAATAACACCGAACTTATACTAACCAGCATTTTTGTTGCTAACGGCTTTGTAGCTTTGTGTTAATCGAAAAAAATAAACTTGTTTCAAGACTGAAATGTGGTCCCAGTAGAGACAAACAAATTGGATCAGCCGATGTGGGGATCGATCCTGTCAGAGTGGGCCTATGGCGGCCATTCGAGCGACATTCTATCTGTCAAGAAACAATAGCACAGCTCTAATTCACTCTAAAGCAGTGACCATGTGCAAAATTTACATCTGCCCATGTTTAAATTAGCGTGCACCGGTCGCATCGGTTTGGTGCCGAATAACTTCTCGGCAGTAAAGGGAGCTAACTTCGTGTCGTGGCACTTTACGCGTCTGTCCTCTACAGATCAGTTGGCTGACCAGGTGACCCAATCGAACTGAGCAGCGACTGGGAGCTGCTGGCCACGTCAGAGATGCTGGTAGACCTTCTTTCAGGCAGCAAATGAAACAAAATTTACTGACCATCATTCAATGTCGGCCAACATTACCCAGAAGTGTGCACAGCCACAGCAAACGCTTTCTTGAGAATTATGAGTACATTCGATTGAAGCCAATGCATCATGCAGGTGCAAACAAATGTGCATCTTTTCATTAACATTCATAATTATCCTGAGTTTGCCACTTAATCGTTAGAAATTGACTGAAACAAGCAAAATATTGCTTGCCATTACGCTATAAATTGTGCTTATGGCCTGGGGGTCCATATTTGCCACTTTCTATGAAACAGGCTAATTGGTGTCACTTTCGTGTTTAGACGCTCGATAATATTTGCGTGGGGGATATCGTAGTGTGGCAAAAACAGTAAATTCTTAATTTAAGTGCACCGATCAAATGTTTAAATGATGTGCCGTACCTAAGCACGTCTTTCATAAATGTTTCCATGTGACAGATAACTTATAAGCTAGACACATGAAAGAAATAACCCATGAACGTTTCGTTGATGAGAAGTGCATCGCTTATTTGATTAAATTTAAAACGCAAAAATGTGGTGGCCGCAAAAAACCAAGTGGCCGCCGTTTCATAGTTTGAAACCGTGGTGAGAACAACTCATATGTGTTTCACGAACACAATGCATGAAGTTATTCTAGCCAGACACATACCTGGGCCTGCCGACTTTCGTGTAGAAATCCTTGAGCTCGCTGAGGTAGTTGTCGATGTCGCCGGATAGCATCTCGCCGCTGCCGGCTGACCTCAGGTCACGTGGCTCCGAGGCGGTCACGTGATGTCTGGGCAGCACCAGCAGAGCCGTGAGCAGTAGTGCCAGTGCCAGTCGCATGCTGTCCCTCTGCGGAGCGAGGGAGGAGAACTGTGAGCACTGAGAAATGCCATGGCACCGTGAACTGTGGAGCACCAGCAGCACCAACTGGGGAGCACCAGCACTACCAACCGAAGAGCACCACCACCATCACCTTCTCCAATTATGCCAACAATATAGACGATCAAGTTTTATATGGTGTCATTTCTTCCCGTCAGCACTACGCTAATGGCCGGCCGCTCCTCAGAGGCGGTAACGAATCGTTGGATACTGTTCCGCAATGCACGGCAGCGCGGCGGCGCAGCATGGACCAGTGCGTTCAGAATAGATGGACGCATGGAATTGGACCATAGGCATTGGGCACAGTAAGGACAGACGACAGTGCGCTGAGAGGGACACAACACAGTCAACACAGAGCTGACTAGGGCCATGGCCATCGGCCGAGGCCAGTGCCAGTACATATTCAAAGAGACGCATAGTTGGGCCACGGCACAGGCCAGGGCGTTCAGAGGAACTCTGCTCCTCTCCATTAGAACGAAGACAAAGGGGAAAGAAATTGGTAGCACGGAAATAACGGTATGCGGTAATCCATAGGGAACGCCTAGCTGACGTCAACTATTTCAATACAACACCTAAAGACAGGGGCGCGGGAACTACTTTCCGACTGGGGGGGCACACCATAGTAGAGATCAACCTAGGGTACCCCCAAATCTAGTTTTCTCACCGGTTTTAGGCCACTTATTTTTCACCCCTCGGCTTTTTCAACAAAAAAAGAAAACATTTGCAAAAAAAGTGTGGTATTCCGTCTCAAAGCTGTGGGGGCACCGCCCCCACGGCCCCGGAGTTGGGGGGGCAAGCTGCCCCCACTGCCCCCCCGGCTCCCGCGCCTATGCCTAAAGATAATTTGTTTGGATAATGGTGGTCAATGAGCAGTCTGCTCACCAAAAATCGTTGTCAGCAAATCTGAGGATTCCTCCAATGTTTCTTCTCCTCACTCGTTTCTCTCACAACTAGCCAAGCAAAGAGAACAGCAGGGTTTAAATAAAAGAGGTTGATTCTCTGACGTCAATGTTCTCCTTATTTATCCACCGCAACAAACGTAGGTGGAGTGAAAGCTGCCAACTGCGTCATGCGTGGAGTTTTACTGGGGAGGGAAAGACCGCACATTTTCTCCGAGGTCGCCAGCCGACGGATTACTATCGAGGGTCGTGTGGTGGACGCTGTCCCACCGAATGATCGTGAGGTAGACGCCACGCAAAAGGATATCGACGTAGATGATCTTCCATTTTTCAATATGATTCATTACGCTTGACAGGGCTCATAGGGAAAGCGCTGTTACGATGAAGATGGGCTACTCCGATGGATGCTGTGTTGTGTCCTAATGTGTGCGTGTGCAATGTGCATGTGTGTGGGTGTGGGAGGGAGGAGTGTTGAAGCAACAGGAGGGGCTGCGCTGATGGATGCTGCCTGCTGGACTAACTATGCCAGTGGGGCGGGAATTTGCCGCTGAGGGAGTTATTCGCGCCAGTGGGACTGTCTGTCACTGAGGCTTGTAGCTCGTGGGCGATGTCATTGGCAACACGAGCCCCAAGCCCATGCCGCTAATCCGATCAGGAAATTGGCTTCATGAGATTAATTTGCGCCAAGCTGATTATGCACGTAGTTACCAAACTCACAAACTTGCGCCATCGGAAAATAATTTCCACACGAAATATGAAATGAATAAATCGAATAGTAGTAAGGCATTAGATGACTATGGCTATTGAAAAGGGATGAAGACTGAACAGATACAAATGACAGTGATTATTTCACCAGTAACATACCTACGCTGAGAAAAATATCATGTATGAGGTCCAGCACACACAAAAACAGAGAGAATAAAGTCGCAGCAGTACGCTCTTCGAGAAAAGTGAAAACATATATATGTTAACGGCATCGAGTTCAATGAAGAAATGATTCGTCAACTTTGGCCCACAGTTCCCTGTATTTCTTTTACAAACCTTACGAAAATATTGTGGTGGATGTTGTGGGTGGTTTCAGCGCTGAGGACATTGATTATTGAGCGGTAAAATTAATCGGCGTTGTGCGAGCGGCCCTCTAGCAGTGCTCAAGAGTCAAGGGTTCAACGAACAGCTCCATTTGGTATTGATTATGATTACGATCACATATTTCTATATTGTCGATGGCATGTCTCTCAACTTGTCATAGTAATGCTCGTGGCAACTGGACAAGTCCGTGCTTTTGAAAAGAAACCGACATAGTGCAATAACCAGTAACAGACAGGTGTCAAGGATGGAGAAGCCAAATCCTGTTAGTTCGTGACAGGCGACTAGTTATTAAGATTGACGTCATTCTCATCGTCCTTGATGAACTCGGTACGGAGTTTCAAACACAGAAAAACGCCAATTTCATGGAAAGTAGATCGTTGATGTCAATTTACAACGAAGTTATTTCCCTGATCAAAACTCCGGATCATCCTAAGGTTTCTACTTTCTACAAGTTTGAGTAGCTAGCAATAAGGTGATTGTAACCTATCACTATCCGTTTATATGTATAAAACTCCTAGCAATGAGCCGAACCAAAATATCTAGAACAAGATGTACATATACGCATTTGAACGAAAAAATAAATGTAGTAGTCTTAATAGAAACCGAGTAGTTCGGGGCATTAAGACAGAGCGAGAAAGCAAATCCATGTTTGAGGTTTTGAATCTTTTTCTTGGAAGATCGACCGTCCCCAACCATCTATCACGGATGTCTCCGCACCACAGCGAACACGATGAAGCCTGTCACTTTGGCACCCCGACCTTTATATATGCCCATACTACGTGAAAATGGACTGTCAGGTGTTGAACTGCAAGACGCCTCACAGGCCATATTTTCACTAAGACGCGAATCTGAAAGACGTCGAGTTCAAACCGCGACTACCGCTTGATGAAAAGACGAAATACGGGCATAAGCTTGGTCAACAATCCATCTCACCTCACCCGAACGTTGACGACAGCTCAGTAGCTATCGCTATGGTGTTTGGCTGATCGCTCATGGGGACAAACGCTCATCAGGGAAACCAGCAGCTATCTGATATTATTTTGAATCCTGTGGACTCACTGACCGCAGTCATCTTTCATAGCACTGATCATGATGAGGCTTTCGTGAAGGCCGTAATGTGTAAATGCCTGACTCATGGACTTCATCACACCATTCGTGCGTCAATTTGGCCTCACGGCTCTGCCTCTCAGTTTCGCGATTGGGCCACAACTGTCGACGTCAGACCCTGTTCCTCTGACGCCTATGACGATCTGTGGCCTCTGCGCCTGCAAATCCGGCTGGGGGTGGCTGCCGGCGCGCTGGCACGCTTTGTTGCAGGTGACCGGGCACGTGTCACCTATCCATCGTGCGGCCCGCTACCTACGGACGGCCGCCGGACTCCATCTGAGCTGGGAATGCGGATGTCTTCCACACCCTACCGAGCATGCTGGGCCCGTCAAAATTCCGCACAGGGGCTCGGCCAGACCGCAGGAGCTTGTTGAAAGCCGTACAGGATTGGCGAGCACTTTGACAGGACGTGAAAATTGATCCGTGTTTGGTGAGGTAGTGAGTACTCGATGAAACGATGACGATCTCGAAGAGCTTAATGTGGTTTCCAATGTATTTTGAAACATTTCGTCATCTTAGAACAATGAATTTAAACGATTTCCAAGCAGGCATCCAGAGCTGCGGTCAAATTGACACCACAGCTAATAAAAGTTCGGTCATAACCTTATTCTTGACGATATATCTTCCATGAAAACCATCGAACTGCAGCTCTCGGCAAACTTTTGAAGCGTCACACTACAGAAAGTTTAGTATGGGGCGATTAAAGGATTGCAATCTTTCTTGTTCTGTGGAGGTCCTTTTCCTGGTTTTCAGCGACCGAAGAATCTGTCTCTGTTAGTTCTTTATCTGTGTCTTGCTTGGGGAATTGTCTTCTCATGCCTCTCTAGGAGTAGGTTTGACGTATGAGCACTTCACTTCTCACTAGACTGAGGCGGCGCAGGAAGGACCGACATGAGCTGATCTATTAGATGCAATCGCATTTCATCTCACCGCAGCACTACTCGGGTCAGTCTTGGTGCGGTGACGTTACGCCAATAAAAGTGTCAGCCGTTGAACTATTGCTTTCAGATTAAAACCATAAACTTTGAGAGCTAGAGCAGCGCTAAAAAAACTTAATCTTCTCGCATTGAGTTTTCAGGTATCTGCTCCAGCTGAAGTCTGCTCGAGGCTTTGGACTCCAGAGATCATTACAGATCAATCAACCTCTAATTTGTACGAGAACTTACCTTTTTCACAAATACCTTTCATAGTATATTTCCAATGTAACAACTTGCAAACAATCTCTTACGAAACTTGCAAGCCAAAAGGCAGTGAATGCAAAGGTTATGACAAGAGCGTTTAGGAAAAAAACAAGGTCTATGTGCCTACATTTCACGTTACTTTTATCTGGCTGACTCCGGCTCGTATCTTTGAAGACACGCTGTGTATTATGTAGACCACAGGCAAACAAAAGCCGAGCGGGGTATTGCTGTATTATCCGGGACATTCGTCCATCAATAGGCGACCCGTGACGGCACTGCAAGGTTACAATATTGACAACGCCGCTTTCATCTCGCCTGAGCCAGTTTCAAGGGAAAATGTCTGGGCCTTACCATTGTCAGAGCGAAGGCAGCGCAGTGGCTGAGAAGAAATGTTACACGTCTAGGAAACCAGCCACCAACAGGGCTCTGCGACTAGTACGCCAAAACGGCCCTTCTTGTCATATTTGTACTGTGTGCTCGGTCTCTGCTTGCAGTTCGTGTTTGTGCATTGTGTTTCGGTCTCTGCTTGCCATGTTAGTGCAGTGTGCATCGGTCTCTGCACTTGTCGTGTTAGTGCGGTGTGCATCGGACCCTGCCTTGTCGTGTTAGTGCAACGTGCAAACCCTGCATGCGATGCTAGTGCAGTGTGCACCGGACTCTCATTGTCATGTTAGTACAGTGTGCACCAGGCGCT